TAAATACACATATAGACAAATTATATAATGTCTATACATAAACCGATGATATGCAAAAAAGAATATAATCTCCACATACAAAATTACATTGAAGAAAGGGTAGATTTATATATTATACATTTATATAACTATATGTATATATTTAATATATTTATATACATATTCTATATATTATACAGGCTATACTATACAAAACATTTCGAATACATAATTATTATATGTATTATGTACCTATCGTAAAAATTGTATTCCAAAAATAAATTATGGAAACATTTTGCATTTCCGAATTAAGTGGTTAAAATGTTAAGAGTACCTATTCAATTTAAGTCTTTAAACTACAATAAACTTGTTTAGTTAAATTAAATTAAGAAAATTACTTGTGAGTTATTGTATATCTAAAGATTGTGGTATAGACTTGTTTTATAAAAACTACTTAAAGAAAAAAAATGTATTTATTAATATTAAGATTGCAATTAATCATTTTTGTCATAATTTTAATCATTTGAAATGAATTAGGTGAATTGTTAGTTATAACTAATTTTATTTTTTCACATTATATAATAATTTTATTGAAATAGCTTAGGTATGTTGTACGTTATAGAATACAATACATTATAGGTGCATACATGTAGACGTACTAGCCACCTAAGTAGTATACAGATGTGAGTATAAGTTAAATGTTAATAAACTTGTAATGAAACGTCATTAGTTTTGTATTACAACAAATGTATAGAATGAAATAATATTTTATAACACTTTGTCAGTGAAATTCACTCACGTCTTATTTAATACATGCATTGTCAATGTTTTTTTTTATGTATATACAAATTTAACTAAGTGATATTTCTCTTGCTTTCTATGTTGTATTATTATTATTATTATTATTATTACATTTACGGAAAGTAACAAAATTGAATTATAATAAAATTAATCAAAGCACTACACAAAAGAGATGAAAATGTAGAAAATACTGTTATTTGGGCTTAAATGAACAGTATAATTTATGGTGCCTAATTGATTTGTCGTCAGTTACTATTAGTTAGAAGAGGGTAAAAGCTTAAGTAATAAATAGCTGGATGGCAGAATAATCATTTTAAAAGCTTTGACTACAATGCAATATTACAATGATCTGTAATTGGCTAAACGTAGTTTCGATGTTTTTTTAAACTACATTAGAAACGTTTATTCAGTAAGATAATCTCGCCAAGTTCTAAACATTTAATCATTCTCCAATTATTTTACAGTAAAATAGTACCTACAACTTTATAGTATCGATATCGATGATCATTTTCTTACAAATAAGAGCTCTTGAAGCTATACAATTTAAAAAGTGATTCAAGTTTTTACAAATTGTAGACCTTAACCTAATTAAGAATGTTTAATTCTATAGTAGATGAATAACATAATACATGCATCATTTAAATTAACATTCAGAGCAATATTCCAATTCTTTGCCCACGTAATATCTATAACAATAGTTACTAGCTTGGGTATACCAACCTTACGGAAATTGAAATTAAAATAGGTAAAATATCTCCTTGTGGCACTTTTATCAATGATTTATAAGCTTATAACCTATTAACTGTTAGGTATTAACATATTTAGCGGTTAATGTTTCTACTTTTTACCAGTGTTAAGTATTATTTACTTAAAAGTCTAATCTAGCGTCTACTGTCATTCTAATATAAGTTTACTTAAAATACATATATTAATTTAAACTTTGTCGTTTATCATCATGTTCATTCTAAATTATTATTAGTTATTACTTATTACTTATTACTTATTAAGTATAACATTGTATTTACTATTTACTGTATATGCTATATTGAGCCCAATAAGGCGTATATATTATATAAATATAAAATTAACATAATATCTATTCCTAATTTCTATTTCTAGCCATCCTCAAGAATACTATTGATTATAAATACTTCTAAATAAAATTACCATCATATCATTACCTACTCATAGAATAAATCTATATACTCCATATTCAGTACTCTAAATTTAAGCATTTTGTACTTTGTACTTTGTATACATTTAAATATGGTTAGTTATGATATGTTTATAGGTACTACAATGTACATATTCATATACCTCAACAAATATTACAATTTTAATGGACATATGTAATGTTTCACTAACATTACTTCCCTTTTAATTAATTAATTCAATAATTATGATTCATACCTATGTTATATTATATAATATTAATTAAATATAATATTATGTTATTATCGATATTCTTTCTCAGTTATTATATTTGCGCAATTAATGACAGTATACAATAAACCTAATTAAAATAATATTGGGTACCTACCTACTACAAGTGCTACAACAACCTACTGGTATAAATGTATAATGTGCATACTGCATTCTTTTCATACATTTATACTAAAATAAATATATTCTAATGTTGTAACAACCCAATTTACATACTATCGCAACATAAATCTAAATATTGTAGGTCTCTAAAATGTTTGAATATTTATATAACTAAAGACTAAATAATAATAATTAAAAATTAAAAATTGTTGAAATTGTATTCAATTTAAAACGTGACGCTAACGATTAAAATAATATGTAGACTATAGTCGTGTAAGCATACCTATTCAAAATAAAACACAACACATCCACGAAAAAAATATTAATTAATTGACTAATTTGATACAAAATGCATTTTCATAATAAATGTTATATTACATTTGATTAAAATATATTTTAGTCAAACTAATTGTTATGTAGGATCAATAATACATTATGAATTTAATAATCTAATATACTATCTGCTAAATAATATACTAAAATAATAATAATGATATACTGTATAATAGCAATCATTTTAACGATTATCAGTAAATATATCTAAAGTATTGTGGTGTCTAGTATATAATACATTAAAATTGATTAAATAGTTATAAGTGTTATTGATGAATATTATAAAAATTACTACATGAATATTTCATATTTGTTTGTGAGTGAAGAATTTTTTGGTAGCATATATTCTGTACAAGTACTTAGTAGGTAAGAAAATATGAAATTTAACTAAGAGGAAAGAGTAATCTCTTTTTATTAAGGATACTTTTTTTCAAGTTATTTAAATTAGAATGTATGTATTTTATTATTATAGTCGGGTATTTAACATTTTCAGTCCCAGCTGAATACAATAGCATGCTTGATTCGCATGTCAGTGTCTTTACTACTTAGAATTTTTTCAATTCTAAAAATAAACTTTAGGATTTTTAACAATTAAATAATAAGGCATGCTCGCGGTTAGCCCTTGAGGCTTGCAAATAGGTATACAGATTATTATTATTTATGCGATAAAAATGTTTTATAAGTTAAATATTCCATTTTATGAACACAATTTTAGGAATCTGTTCCACGTCATAAAGTTGCAAGGACCTTTGTATAAAAAGAATTCCCATAATTTTTTTGTGCCGTTACACCTAAATCATTTTTTTTGTAGAAACATTTTCTCAAAAGATTCTGAAAGACTGAAAGTTCTTAGAAGATAGAATTCTGTACCTACCTCTGTGCGGTAGGTACCTTTTGTCCATAATAATCGTGGTTTTCTGGCCACAGGACCTTTAAAATACAAAAAAATACTAATAAATAGTCGCCTCTTGGTCAGTAAATTGTTCATTAAAATGTAAACAACTATTTGTGAGTCACTAACTATAAACTCCATTAAACATTCCCAACATATTTTATTTCTGTAAAAAAAAAACACATAACGTATTAACATGAATTAAAACCTTCTTATGAAGACGTATAAGTATTTTAATTTTAATTTTAAATATACAATGTCGTACCTACATTGCTGTTTACTTTTCAAATTTCATGTAATAATTCTGTATGTACCAAAATATTTAGAATAATATTACCATTATATTACTAAACACTACACATTCATAAAACTTTAGACTGTAATCGTGCAGTTTATATATAATTATTATTTATGTTGAATTCACAATCAAAAGTCGTTACCTAACTTTACCTTTTAACGAAGAATTTTCTTGTGGAAAGGGAACCATCTCCTTATCTATTTTGGTTGAAAATTGTACTTGATTGCTGATCAAAGACTTAATAATTTGAACTCGAATTCCATTTGAGAGTCCTAAATAATCTTTGTTGTGTCACTGAGAGTGTGCCAATAGAACATAGGTATCTACATAGAATATAATATTGGTGTAAACTTATATTTCTTCCTAATAAAATATAATAGTTTAAATTTTGAAATGATTTAAGTACACTCAATTAAAATATAATTGATTAACTAATTAAATTTGAAACATGGATTAATATTTTAATCCCATCTCTAAATGCATATTAATATTAAAATCCTTTGTTATCATTAAAATGTTCAAAAAACGTTTAGCAATTGGTGGAAAATTATTTTCACTAACAAGCTTAAAATGATTAAAACAAATGTGAGTGAGAAATAAAAAGAAATTTAAAATTCTTCATTCACAATTATTTGTTAAGTATACGGAATTTTTAAAAACAAAACGATTCTTATATTTTATTCAATTACTGTGTGTGTTGACAATGGACATATGACATTTACAAAATTGATATATATATATATATATTAGCAGGTCTGGCACTATACTTACATGCAATAATTTTTTACAAAAATATGGCTGATTCCTAGGAAATCTACAACGGGGCAAATTTTTCAACCCCTCCGATGGTAAATGTTTCTGTCAATTCTAGGACAATAGGATTAGAGTACTAGGACACTAATATTAGTGATAGTAGGTATACTTGAGCCGTTACCACGGCACAGACGATTTCGCCGGATAGTCGATCTGAAATGCGCGATGAGTTATAAACACACCGCTTAGGCATATAACATAACATAATAATACGAGCCACGACAAGTAGGGTAATGATTTTAATTATTATTATTGTGTCAATCGCATTGTGTGGTGTATATAATTTTCCTGTTTTTTTCCTTCTCATCATCCGGCTTGTTTTTTTTCTGTTATTTCCAGGTCGGCCGGTTCGTGTTCGTCGTCGGTGTGCCGTCTGCTGGACGACGGCGGAGACAAAACGCCTCCGCCGCCGTGCTGGTGTAGCGCGGAAACCGCGACCGTCCTCGGTGACCCACATAACGACGATATGGCCCGGACGACAACCGGTTACCGCTGTCCGCCGCATGGATCGCTGCTTCAGCGTCGAGGCACCGCCGCCGACGCCGTCGAAGGGGGACGACCGGTGCTGCGTTCGCGTCTCGCCGCAGACGTTCAGTCAAACGTACAGCGTCCGACCTCGCGTATCGTGCCGTCTCGTTGTGTCAGTGCGGGTGATTGGTGTTGTGATAACGGAGACGTCGATGTCGACGACGACGACGACGACGACGAGGATTACTATTGCGTTTACGAGGACGAAAACCTCCACAGAGTGGATAACGACGTCGACGTTCGCGATGATAACCGAGTGCGTGCTGTAGTGCTGATGGACAACGGGAGCGGCTTGATAACCGGCGGCGGGACGGTGGACGGCGGTAAGTCTCAGGCGGCAGTGGCCGCCGAGAGGACTTACGCGTCCACGGAAGCGCAGACTGACGAGACGGCGTGCTCGTCCGCTTACAGGGAACAGCGGCGGCGGGAACGACGGGAACGCCGGCTGCAACAGCAACGACGCGTCCACCCGCCGCCGCCGCCTCCGCCCGCGCTTTCGTCGTCGTCACTGCTGCCGCCGCCACCGCCACCGCTTCTGTTGCAGCAGCAGCAGCAGCAGTCCGGGATCGCTGTGTCTGTCGACCCGGACAGGCTGCCCGACCTGTTGCTCAACTCGCACCTTCCACCGCCGCTGTACACAACCGTCGGCGGCGGCGTGTGCGACGTCGCCATGGCCACCCGGGCGGCCAACATGCAGGCGTCCCTGTTGCCCACCCCATTCCAACACCCCCATCAGCCGCCCGGGGCGCCCGTCGGCTCGGTCGTCAACACGCCCGGTGGATTTCGCCTGCCGTTCGGCATCATACCGGCCAGGAGACGAAGGTCAGTGTTTCGACATACGGTTTTATAATGCATTAAACAGTGTTATGTACATAATATTATTTTTTTGTTATTTATAAGCAATTGTGATAGCCCCTTAGAGATTGTTTTTTCGATATTTGTATAGTATTTTGAAAACAAAAATACGCTATTGCCGTGGTGTAAAGTTATATATAAGTATCGGAATCGCTAAATTCGATAGATATGGTACCTGTTTAGTGTTTAATGTTTATATTAGGTATTTTTTTTGCACGTACGTCTGTCAACAGTTTCAGTATGGGTACAGTTTATAATAAATAGTTATTGTAAACGATTATAGGTAAATAGACCTACGGACCGTATACCGTACGGTAGTTATACCTAGTTGTAGGTAGGTAGTTGATAAGTTACGCAAACGCGAGACCAATCAGAACGTTCACGTATCACATAATATTAAATAACATCCCTCCTATCTCCTGCAGATCCGAGATTTTCATCAAACGTCATAACACTCAAAGCATGACATTTTTAAATTTTCGTTGTGCTTATAGGCTAGTAGTTCACTACTCATACAAATAACATAATACTTGTATACCTATCTCTGTGGCTCTACGTTGCGGTCGTCCCTCATCACTTCTTTGAGTTCTTTATGGTATAGGGCAGTAGCGTGCCTGTAAAACATTTTCTTGGTTGGGGGGGGACTATTAAATACCTCACTTTAAAACCATTAAAATCCCAAAGCAAAGCAAAACTTAATATAACCCTATTGCCCCCCCACCCCTTTAACAAGTACACCACTATTTTAGTGTCATGTTATGTTAACGTAAATTATGTAATAGCGAGTGCACAATTTATAAAAAAAAATAAGAATTCCAACAAAGACCGCACTGCAAAGATAGGACAAGTGTTGCAGCAGTGCACGCTATACATATACCTGTCCTGTACGATAACTGCACGCCACAGACACTCCTAGGCGATAGGTATCTGCAGCGTATATTATAATATTATATTTTAATATAGGTAGATAGGTACTAATATGTATACGATCCATTCGAAAACGTCTCATAAGGACAGGTTCTAGCGGTCTCGTCCGTATTTATACAAAAATAATAATAATGGTAGTATACACTATAGAGCGCAATCAGCTCGAACAACGCGTAGTCATATATTCGGCTGTTTTACGACCCATTAAAAGAGGATAATATTATAGAAGTGAAATCCAGGATGTTTGCGTTGTGTATAGATGATACTCTGCATGTGTGTTTTTATGCGACACCCTATTGTTTGAGCTGAGTACAACAATATATAACATGTAATATAGGTATAGTGTCACGGTCATCACTACAACATGCGTATAAGAGTGTTTATTATAATAGTAATAATAATATGCACGTGTCGTGGTACATAGATTTTGTTTCTGAGAAACCTTTCGTTCATTAGCTATCGCATTGTGCCTGCCGGTACAGATCTCAATGACAACCGATAAAATATTCACTGAGACAACCGATTTCGTACCGTCCGAACAATTTCAAATCCTCTCCGTGTAATATACATATACAATATCATATTATGATGTATTATGTGTATGGACATCTGCATTACAAATATATTATACATAATTATAATAATATGTTACCCAATGTTGTTGTGTCGTCGAAATGTATTGAATAACGCTTAACGCGCAATAATATTATTATAGGTAGATACCGTATAAAAACAAGTGTTTACTAAAAAGTGGAAAAACTAGAATTTAGTCATTTTATTGAAATCGAACGCGTGTTATTCTTTAGTATTTTATTGTTATGCGTAGATATAATGATTTTTTTCAAACGTCAACCAGACAATATGTTAAGCATATTAGATAATATTACATTTTTTTAAGCTTTTAACAATGCTGTACTTTGATATTCAATATTTTTTTATGATTCAGTTAATTTTAAATTAACTTTTAAAAATCGTATAATGCCTATGATAAAAATTGAATAATATATCTGATTCACGATAATAAAAATCACCGTATATCCATATTATTGTGAATGAAATAAAAGCACATGCTACGATATTGTTATATTAATATAATACATATTTTATCAATATTGTAGAAAGGTCAATATTGTGTGCTTTATAAATATTTATTCAATATTATGAGATTAGGGTTAGTTCAGAGGTTTGATACGGTACCAACTTTATTGTCCCAAGTCATTTCCAATATTTACTGTGTAGGTATACAAGGTAGTCATAATAATGATTTAATTTAATTGTTCACAAAATAATTTACTTTGACGTATAATATAATTTATGTATAATGTGAAACTTTCAAAGTATTTAGGCAATAGTATAATGTCCTCAAAACTGACAAAATTAAGTTTCTCACTACAAATCGATGTAATAATTTATGATTTTAACCAACTAATTTATCAAATTCTTAGCACTGATATTATTATCCTTCACATACATAATATAATTGTAACGTAATTTTTACCAGTCAAATTATTTTACTTTGATGATGGTCATTGCTGTGATATATTGGATCATTATTATAATTTAGAGTGTGATTGAAAAATGCCCCTCTCCTTGTAAATGTAATTCTTAAGTATGTAATTTGCATTTTGAGTAAATGTGTGTATATATTATAATTATTGTCTAAAAACAAATCTTAATAATCAACTATCGTGAAGGTCTGATAAACGTATTATAATCGTTTGGATAATATCATGTTTGGCCAAACATTAACAAATAGTATAGAAAAACAAGACTTGCCCACTCAAAAGTTAAAATATTGATCTTAATAATAATATCGCGAGCCACACCACATACATAATAATTATTCGCTATTTCTAGTTAAATTTTAAAACTCGACTACACCTATATCATAAATACATATTATACGTGTGTGTAGTATATGTGGACCGTATGGATATCATAATATGAGCTCGTGAAGTAATTGACGTAACGCTCATAACTGTATACATACACATTTATAAAACGTATACGATGTGTAACGATGTACATCATCATAATAAATAGTATAATACGAATGACGATCGTCATATCAGCCGGCGATGATTCCGTTTTCGAAATTTCACATCCGGTACCCAGTCTGCAAAATAAAATACCAACAAAAACCGATATTACACATGAACAAAAAAAAAAAAATAAGCAAAATATGGATACACACTTCCATACTCCATATAATATTACAGTTGTACGTACCATGTCGCACGCGAAAACTGTATTACACGTGCGGAAACCGTTTAATAACAATTAACCGTTTACACCGTTTTCTTCTTTTCGCGTAAGAATTAAATAAATTTATGGTATTATTTTCGTCTCCGTTAACTGTTTCTCTTCTGTTTTGAAGAAAGCGTGTAGTACCTACAATACGACCGTGATCCGCACCCGATAAGACGATATGCAACCGCGGCATCATAATATAACCATGATGATAGTCTTCAACGGATAGCAAAGGGTGCGGTGGAGAGGAAGACGTGTCATAATCATCGCAAGGAACGGTACCTACCTATGTGTATAGTATATATATATATATATGTATAATAAATCATCATCATTATGATTATTATAAGCGGTGGGCCAGCCGAGACGGTCGTGCGTGAAGCCGAGATCCGTCGGCCATGTTTTCACTTGTAATCTCTGATTGAACTCTGTAAAACACTAGACGGCGGACCATATAGTAAATATGGTTTCGACTGTTCATCTCATAGACCATACTTCACCGACCATTTGTTTGAAAAGTGTAAAAACAAAATAAAAAAATAAAATTGTTATCATAGGTACTCCGCGTACGCTGGTGTAGTATTTTTGCTTACTGTTTTGATAAAAATCGTAATAAAAAAGTAAAAATAATTGTTGTATAATACAGTATATTTATCTAGAATTTCCATAATATATTATAACAATGTCCACAGTAAATTATTCAGGAGGAAAAAATGTTTTATACTTCGTTATTTTATTTGTTTATTTCTACGTATGAACATAATATTACTAGTAATTAATAACTAATAATATGATGTAAGCAATATAATAATTTATTTACGGTTGATCAATAATTCGTGTTGTAAAAACTGAGTATTTCATACAATTCTTCAACCTATTTAAACTGTAGACAAACAATCATGCATATTTAATTTTAAAAAAAGGTATAGCGGTAATATAATATTTTAATCTTTTGACTTTTTGCAATTCCATGTGTATAATTTTCCCTATCACGGTAAATTAATTTCTTTCTCTGATTTTTTCTTAAAACCAAATAAATAGTTTTAAGTAAATGTGAGAAATACAGCACAGTAGTTTAAAAAAAATATCAGTTAGAAAATATTGACGGTGGAAAATATGGTATAAGACACTCTGTATGTAATAGAGATACAGCAGGTACACGCCCACACTCAGTATTTATATAACGTAAGTACGAAATAGTAAAACAGCTTGCACTGTACAACTGCAAGTAAAAAATTTAGTGGTTTGAAAAATAAACTTCGTTGTCGTCTAATTTGTAGTGTGCCTATGTTAAAAATCTGTTGGTTAAAAAACAAATTTCAAAAAATATACCCAAAAACCAGGAAAATACACACGCGTTATCGATGTATATACATGATACCCATACTAATATTCTCCTCTCATTTCTCGCCCGACAATGAATTTGCATATTCTTCATCCTATCCATATGTATAATAATTATGTATTTTGCCCGCCAGCACTCACGTATATTGTGAGTGTCACGTTCGCACTATATTGTATGTACTAAACTGTCTGATGAAGTGTAAATGGATCAGATTAAGTCTTGGATGTATATTGTAATAATAGTAAAGCACTAAACACTATGGGTTTATGGAATTAGGTTGGGTAATGACATAAATCTAGTATTCCAGATTGCGAAAATTAAAACATAATATGTACATTGTGGTGAACTCGTAAAAAAATTTTAGTCCACATTTATTTCGTAAACGTAAATATAGTTACTTTTGTAATAAAAAAAAATAGACTAATAAAACGGAAACAGTATGCGA